GAATATTTTGTTTTTGGTGTATTTTGTTTTGTTTTTAGTGCATTTTGTTTTGTTTTTCGTGTATTTTGTTTGGAAGTCGGTTTTGTTTTGTCACGCTCAGTTCTCAGACCGTTCAAATTTAAGCCACAAACGCGGTTATTTAACTAATCAGTTATACAAAGTACAATCAGTTCAAACTGTCGGAACTGAGTGTCTGTAGCGGACTTTAGTTAATAATATTAGTGGAAAATGGAATCATTCTTTAACAATAGTTGAATTGTTCCACAATCTAGGTGGACAGACATAACAAAACACTTTGTTTTATGTTGAAATTCTTTCCCATTTCAATTCTCGAATGAGACATATTTTCAAAGCATCTTATGAATGGTATTTGGAATATAATTAAAAATTTACATTGTTTTAAAAATATCTTTGCATCGGTCAGAAGAATTTTATTGCACATAGACGTAAGGACCTAGATCATTATAAGTATTTGTGTTAATACACAAACATTTATTCCCCTTCGACCAGTAAACTTGCTACCTCGAAATTTTCTATTACCAAACATTTCGTTAAAATGTAGTTGGCATTTATAGTGATACTTAGTCTTCACCTAAAAAGATGCAAAAAAAATACCTTAAAATACATAACCTTGTAGAGTTGAAAGACAAATCGCTGAAAAGAAAGCATATAAAAACACCTATAAGATTCTACTAAATATTTAAGTAGTGACCTGTATTCGTGTTCTTTCAAGTAACACAAAATTATGAAAAAAAGAGTGACGAGCACGAAATAACGTTCAGACTTCGGGCTAATTGCGGCCGCTTTCAGCTTCGCTCACAGACGGCGGATTGCGGAGGCTGGGAGAATTCTGAAAGCCTCACGCCCACGGCTGCGAGCACACCCGACGATTGTCATTTATAAGTCTCTATAGTACTTCGTCTAACGGCTTACAAAAATATCTACCGTGTTTATGCAGTATTTTAAAAGATTGATAATGCGTTGGGTTTGTACACAAATCCAAAAGTTTGCTACATTCTTTTTATAAATCTTGTTTATTTAAAGTTAAGTATTAATTAAACTTCACACATATCTTTGAATTTCTTCGCCGATATGTGCAGGTTGCATCACGATGTTTTCCTTCACCGTAAGAACGTCGGGTAAATTATGTACATATGAAAATTCGAAAAATCGAAAATCACATTGGTACACATTGGTGTGAAGTCAACCAACCCGCACTTGGCCAGCGTGGTTTGACTATGGCCTAGTCACCCCGTATTAGGGTAGGCTCCGAGCCCCTCGGTGGGGACGTATAGTGAGCTGGTGATGATGATTAATTAAACTACTAACATTGAACGTATCCTTTGCTTTGTAGTCAGAAATCGTGAAGATTTCGTCAAACAAAATTCTTACATGTGATTAACTTATGTTAACGCCAATTTCAAAGGTTAAATCTTAACCTTTTGTTGTTGTTTCTCTATACTAATATTATAAAGAGGAAAGATTTGTATTTGATTCAAGGAAAAACTACTGGAGCCATTTTAAAAATTCGTTCACCATTATATAGGTAATTTATCTGTAACATAGGGTACATTTTGATTTGTTTTTTAATTTCACGCGGGCGAAGCCACGAGCAACAGCTAGTTATAAATATATAGCTTGTCCCGTGACTCCATCAGCGCGTAATTTAATAAATAAAAAAATATTAGAAGCCGTTAATTCTTGCACACTACGTTCTAAATCTCTATCAAACAGCGAGGTCCGTTGATATATTCTCTTGATATGTAGTAAGAAACATCCAGTCATCTATTTAATTAAACTTTCGCATTTATAACATGACAAATCAATGGCTATTATTTATTTTCTCTAACAGGGTAGTACTTTAATAAGAACTAGGTTTTACTCGCGACATCGTCTGCGTGAAATTAAAAATGCAGCCTATGTTACTTACCGATAACGTATCTTTTTAATGCTGAAAGATTTTTTAAATCTGTCCAGTAGTTTTTGAGTTATTTCAATACATACAAAAACCAAAAATACAAATCTTTCCTCTTTCTAACATTAGTCTAGATATAAATATCTTACAAATGAAGCAAAAATATTGTAATTCGTATATATTTTCAGAAAGCTGGCTCATTAAAGGCATCAAACGTATGGGTCCCTTTGCAGGCTTATAACGCATTAAATTACACACGCCTTTTTAAATATTGAATAGGGTGAGTTTCATGGGACTGTAACCATAAGCAGTCGTTCTATTGGAACCTGGAAAGCAATCGTTTGTGCTAGAAATTTCCTTTGAGTGGTTATTTCGTAGTCGTTAGCTATTCAATGTAGTGAAAAATTTAGTTAGAAAATTTTTTATACTATTGAAAAAGAAGAGTCAAAATAATTTACTAATCTTTTATATAATTTGGGGAAAGAAACAGCGAAAACTTTTTATCAAGCACGTACAATTTTTATACAAAAAAAAATCAATTACGGAACATTATAAATAGTAGTTTAAAAAAATATTAACAATCTTTATGCAATTTACTTTTACCCTTAGTAAAACATTTTTATTGAGTTCAAGAAACGAACTAAGTATACCACGTGCGACAGTTTTAATAATTCTCCTAACTCACGTGGGCCGATACAAGCGTGACACCCCTAACCGAATTACGAAACATCTCGTAGACATTCACAAATCTCTTACCATTCAACGTAAACCGCAATTCTACTGTATTCGGTACAACCCTTCAGAAGGGATTCACTCAGTAACATCTCACAGGGGCAGTGGGCTATCGAACGAAGTCACAGTGCGTCGGGAAAGCAAAACCGGCAGATCCACGTGAGTTAAAAACAATTTCATTAATTAAAAAAAAATATTAAATAACATTTTAAATACAAATAGTATGGTATTTATAGTTGTTTATACTTACAAGGGCGCGCGGTTTTGTGAAGATGATTGAAGAAGAGATTTTGCAACGCCGAGTCGCATGCCTCGCGGAGGCGGCTGGCGGCAACACGCGGCGGTTGCCGGCAACGCACTGACGCACGCACGCGCGTCGCTACGCCACTACGCCGTTACGACGCGACGTGCTACGATGCTACGCAAACACGTTAATAAATTATTTAATGTTTGCTTTCATAATACGTATTATACACGAAATGGATACAATATTTTTAATTATTAATTCATTTATTGCAGTTAAAAAAGAAAGAAATGATTTTTCAGTAATAATGTAAGGGTTTTCAATAGTAAATTTAAAAGAAATATACCATGATGAAGTATTAGGAGCAAAGAAACATTTCTCTGCCTGTTATTTTGTTTATCTGCAATACTCACGTAAAAGATAAAGATCATTGTTTCATTATTACCTAAACTACCCTCACTGATAACTGGACTCAACTAAGACCTCAGAAAAAGTAATCAATGATAAAGTATTCAATGATACTGTTTTGTATTCCCTCTTGAAATAACAGTGTATCTTCTAAATATTAAGCAATAAATCATTACAATAAAATTATTGTCAACGTGAATGTCGGTAATAAATCAAACCTACAAGCACCGTGTAAACTTTTACTAACGACCTCGCTGAGCAACGCCTTAACACGAACACGTGTTTCCACTACAGAAACATGTACTAAAATATATCATCACTTCCCTCATTCCCTTTGTGAAAAAAAGAGATAGCAACATGTTTTTCTACAAGAATTTTGGCAATGGAAAACGTTTCAGGATTTGAACAATAAAAATGAACGCCCATTCAAAGACAAACTTCTAAACGACCGAACTTTGTTATTCATACTATATTATTAAACAAATGGCCATCGACCTTTTTCCCTTTAAACTCATTAATGTACAATTTATATTATAAAAAGAATGAAAACATTTAGCATGCTTAAGATATTACTCTTTGTTTTTGCCTGGTTAATTAACTTTATTAAACCCCGATAATAAGAAGGTAAAAAGCTTTATTACGCAATCATGTTGGTGCTTATCGAGGAATGACTAGGAAAATATAGAAATAAAGTAATCTTTTAAAAATACAGCGTGTTACATTACTCAAATTTAATTAACTTTGAAACGTGAAAGTCGGTTAAGCAGAAGTAACTAGGTTAAGTACTTGTTAATGGATCTTTAGCTGTTTTATTTTCCAGGCCATGTAAGATGTAATAAACAAATTAAAACCTTACTCGCTTTCCTTGTTGTACTAAGTATTGAGAACTATAAAATGGTCCCGTATTTAGAGCTAGTTTGTTAAAAAATAATACACATGTGCAAGAATTGTGTTTTAGTTTAGTTTGTTTATTTTCCGATTGTCACAGTTTAAGCATCATCCAAAGATTTTACTACAGTTGATAACGTTGTGGCATATAAGCAGGGTAACACCTTAACAATACTTACCTGGAAATTATTTCGATTGTATGACGAAACTTCTAGGTAAGTTTTATTGTTCCGATGTTTCTGTTTCCAATTCCGATTCAAGATTTTAATTACAAGTCACATCACTATTAATGTCTATTTTATACTCTATGCTCTATGACATTAGACTTTGTCAGTCTGTGCTTGTACACAGAACTGTCAAAAAGTTACAAGTTTAGTAAAGGAACAATTTCTTTTTCGAATATAAATAAGTTTTATTTGTCAGCTTTTAACATGTTGTGAATTTATAGATTTTTATAGTCGCAGACATATTATTAAGTCGCTTTAATATCAAATCATGTGAACAATATCATCTTTTAATTCTATTTCAATATACAAAATTTACATTCCTAATCAATGATCTGAATCATAATGAAAGTGTACGTAGAATAACTAGGAATAGTTGAAGTGTGAAGAGTGGCCTATAAAAGTATATTTATTTGTAAGAGCACTTCGTACCTTTTTTGAAATGGCTGAAACTTCGTCTTTTGTCGCGAAGCCGGCTAGAGGATGGCTACATCCAGACACGATCCTCGCCACAGATGGAATTACATATGCCGTTAGAGTAAGTTCTTAGAAAATTTGCTTATTTGGATTTGAATTTATTAATTTTCCATTTGATGAAAAAGATAACCAAGAATCATACATGATTATTTAATCCTTGCCTCTTTGTTGCAGTACATAGGGTGTATGGAAGTATTAACGTCGATGAAAAAGTTGGATTTCGATACAAGATCTCAAGTTGCTAAGTAAGTAATGCATGTATACACACTTAATTTGCTTAAAATACAAGAATCATTTATTGGTTCTTGGTTTTTTTCTCTCTACGTTTTACTACCTCTTTTCAATAATGTTAACACATAAAACAGGTTGTTATGTGTTACACACTAAACACACCAATAAACTGTTCTTGGGCAGTTTGGCACAATGATGTAATTGGGAAAAAGTATACTTTACTCTTATATAGATTAAAACTTACATATATGCTTACAGGGAATGTATTGCTCGAGTTTGCGCTGCAGCGGGTCTTAGATCTGCAGATAAGAAGCGTAGGATTAGCCAAGCAGCAGCATGTGCTTTAGCGGCCAAGCCACGGATGTCACATTCCAGTTCAAATGTTGCCCTTACTATCTCCTCCAAAGCTATAACCATAGCTGCCCTTGAAGGGGGAGAGACTATCGCACGTCATGATATGCCGAGGGTGTCATTTGCTTCCGGCGGTGACTCAGATTCATTAGACTTTGTGGCATATGTGGCGAAGACAGCGCCACCTACAGAATGGAGAGCTTGTTATGTACTAGAATGTGGCGGTATGCTGGCTCAAGATGTAATCGCTACTGTTGGACAAGCATTTGAGTTGCGCTTCAAAGAGTTCTTAACAAAACCTTCATCGTAAGTCAAACTCAGTACTTTTTTCTTTCTGTAGGGAATCAATTTTCCTTTCATTTGACTGTCCAAAAAATTCTCAGAACTAAATTAAATCATTTGTTGAATCATCCAATTATTATGTAGTGTAATTTAAAGGAATTCTGCATACTTGTAAAATGTGTCTATTTTGAGATAGTTCTATTAAACACATTTTACAAAAACTATAAAAATGTTACATTGTTGAAATATCTGAATTGAATCTTATATCATAAAACAATGCTTCAATAAGGAAATATATGAATTCCATTCCATTTTCTTTATTATTATTTCGCAATGAATGTTATTATTTTCCTCATCTGATTACAATGGACTACATATTTGTATGGAAAAATAATTTGTAAACTTTTATACAATTATTTGTTAAATACTTAAAATTGTTTTAGTTTTATCTTTTATCACAAAAAAGCATCCATCCCTTTCATTCTCATTGTAAAAATAGAGATGGTAATTTGTAGGGTGAATGTGAACGGCGGCCGCGCGCTGTGCACGGCGGAGGCGGGGGCGGGGGCGGCGCTGGAGGATCGCGACTACTACAACGACCTGCCCGACAAG